GCTGTGGCATCTCTGTACCTTGGCATCTCTATGTCTTGATCTGCATGACATGAAGTAGAAAGCTGTTTTTGGCTCTGCCATTGTGTGTTTAGAAGCCTTTTTGAAACTCTTTTAGGCCTTATGGAAATTTGAGAGCTCCATGTTTGTACACCAAATATAGACGAAATTTTCCTATGTCTTGCCTGGTCCACAGCTGGTCAGACCCAAATAAACATAGAGAAGCTTATCTTAATTACAAACTGTATGGCCATTAGCTCATGCTTATTACTGACTAGCTCTTACACTTAAATTAACCCATAATTCTTATCTATATTTAGCCATGTGGCTTGGTACCGTTTCTCAGTTCTGCCTTGTCATCTTGCTTCCTTTGTGTCTAGCTGGCAATTCCTGACTCAACTCTCCTCTTCTCAGAAGTCTCTTCATTTGCTTGCCCCACCTATATTTCCTGCCTGGCTACTGGCCAATCAGCATTTTATTTATCAACCAATCAGAGCAACACATATGCACAGCATACAGAACAACATCCCACAGTATCAGGTTTAGTCTATCTCTTTGCCTAATGCATGTAGCTCAAGATGTAAAGCTCTTAGCCACTTCTTCAGTAACATGACTGCCTGTGTGCTATGTACTCCACCATCATAATCCCAGACTGTGTTTGTGAAACTATAAGCAATTCCTCAGTGAAAGGCTTTCTTTGTTAAGAGTTTCCCTAATCATTCTGTCTCTTCACAGGAATAGAACACTAAAACATCCTCTTCTCCAATGGACCTGTCATCTTGACAAAATTAAACGGAGACATATATTTTAATTGACATCATCCATCATGTGGACTTTAGCTACAGAATAGTCCACCCAGTATGAAAGAATATACATTCTACTGAGTAGCACATGAAACTTTTTGGAAAATAGGCTACCTCTTAGGATACAAAACAAATCTTTACAAATTCAAAAAGATAGAAAACACAAGTCCTATATTATTCATAATACATAAAATTGACAGCAAAAAGTTCTCTAGAAATTCATAAACTCATGAAGATTAAACAACTCATTACTGAATAATGAATAGTTCAAAAAATTCAAGAAAGAAATAAAAATAAAAATCTCTGTGTAACTAAATGAAACTGAAAACATAATACAACAATACCTTTGGGACACATTGAAAGCACTCCTACAGGGAACTCTAAGTGCCAATTATAAAAACGCAGAAAGAATTGAAATAAATGGCTTAATGATACAACTAAAAAAATAGGGAAAAGAACAAATCAAATTCAAACCAAAGTGACAGCAAGATATAACAAAAATCAGAGCAGAAATCGATGAATTTGAAACAAAGGAAACAAGGCAAATAATCATCAAAACTAAAAGCTAGTTCTTTGAGAAGATAAAAAAAATGTTGACAGACCATTGGCCCAACTTAAAAAAAAATGAGGAAAGGACCTAAATGAACAAAATCATACATGAATTCCTTAAAAAAAGACACCAAAGAAATTCAGAACATTATAAGGAATCATTTAAGAACTTGCATTCCAGTAAGCTGGAAAACCTTAAAGAAATGGATGAATTTCTAGATTTGGGCAAACCATCAAAATTAAAACAAGAAATAATCAACAACTTTTACACACTCACAACAAATAAGGAGATTGAAATAATAATCAAAAGCTTTCCAGACTAAATAATATCCAGGGTCAGATGGATTCACGGCAGGTATTCAAGAAGATCTACAGCCAATCCTTCTTGAATTATTCCAAAAAATAGAAACAGAAGGAGC